AGTGGATTAAAGTGCCTACTTAGGCAGATGCGGGGGCTGAGAGTTTGATCCTTGGGCCTATAGTGCCTGTCCCACCTCCAGGGTACACTGAGAGGGCAATTGAGACTGCGCATAGTGGCATGTGCCTGTAATCTCAGCACTTGGGAGGCTGTAAACAAGAGGATTGCTACAAGTCTGATCTACTCAGTGAGACCCTGTACACCTTGTCCTAAATACCAAAAATGACTCTTTTAAAGTAAAAATGAAAAGAAAAGAACTCAGCCAATAACAAATGCTGTGGGGGCTGTGGAGAACACTTCTCCACTCTTGGTGGGAATACAAACTGGTACAACCACTATGGAAATCAGTGTGGAGATTCCTTAAAAACTAGGAGTTGAGATCTCATTCAAGCCAGCTATTCCTCTCTTGGTATTTTTCGAGAAGAACTGTGGTATGAAAAATTCCTCTCCTGGGTATTTTTCATGACGCAGAAATATATCTGCACCCATGTTCATAGCAACACATTTGTCATAGTTAAAGCCTGGAAACCACCCAGATGCCCATTGACTGAGAAATGGATAAAGAAGATGTGGTACTTTTACACAATGGAGTATTATTCAGCTATAAAACAAAATAAATTTGAAACTTTGGCCTCTAAGTGTATGTAAGTAGAGACCATACTCTTAAGTAAAATAAATCAGACCCACGTGTGTGAATATTGTACTCTTTCCTTAGTGTGAAAACCTGAGAGAAAATGAAAGTTGAAGGGTACCATACATACTGAGAAGCGGGAATGAACTTGTTCAAAAGGAAAGCATAAGGAAGTTGAGAAGGACAGGAGAGGGAGTGGGAGAAATAAATGTATCTATGTATATAAACATGCTACTTTCTACAACTGTACTGTGGATTTCTGCTGGTCTATGGAAAGAAACAATTGGTGCTTAATTTGTTTTATATCCTTTTTTCAATTATTTATCCTTTTTGCCTTTTAATTTCTTATATATTTCTTTCTTTCTTCTTTCTACCAATTTTGTATCCAAATATCTGGTAATATGAATAACTGATTGGAACACATCACTGTGCATCACAACAAATATTGTAAAATTAATGTTACTTTGTTAAGTCAAATTCTATATCTCTTGTAATTTTTCTTTCTTAATACTATTTTGTACTATCTTTAAAAAACAAAAAATTAAAGAATACATTTCCATTAATCCTTCTTTATCTGTCCTGAAAGATGAAAGATCATTGAGCAGAAACATCATTCACTATAGAACACTTCAACTTGAAGCCAGTTCTCCCTGTTATGAGACCTGTCACTCTTGGAGCATCCCGAGCTTCAGTCACCCTGACTACTCTTACCTGAGCAAACCACAGAGGCTGTGTTCCCATGAGCACAGGGAAGAACCCCAAGGACAGTCACAGGGCAACTCCAAAGGAAGGACTCAGCACCTGAGCAGTAAAATCTTTCTTTCCCAATGTCACCACCTCCTTCCTCAAAGTATGTTCCTCCTTTTGGGGTGGAGATGGCAACTCCACAGCCCAGCTGGTGGCACACAACATCCGCATTGACCATACTCCAGTGAGTGGCGCAGAGTGCTCTCCAACCAACAGAGGTGTTCATCTCCACCTGACCCTCACACTGAGAGGTGTTGTTTTTTATGAGCCGGACTTCGGTGAATTCTGGGAGGAGAAAACAAATTTTCAGCAACATCTCTCTTTCTTCTTACCCACAGGCCTTCCAGAGAGGTTGAACTTTAGTTGTGAATCTCACCTGAACAAACAACTTCAACAGTTGCACTGTGTTGGCAGCTACCTCCAGGACAGGGTACCCTGGGGCAGAACCAGAGCTCAGGCTCCTGCCCCTCACAATGAAACTCTTCACCCCACACCTGTGGAATGACCTCTCTGAAAGGCACATCCCTCATGAGAGACACAGCTTTGCCACACTTCAGTTCTGTACAGATGACTTGGGCAGTGGCAAATGTGAAGTTCCAATCAGATACTGGAATCCAGCCTCCTCCAGGATTCACTTCTACTCGGCCTGAGCAGGGTCCTTCTCCTCCAGCCAGGCGTACAAATCCTCGGGGTAAAAAAGAAGCAAATGTGTGTCCTCATTTGGAAATAGGATCAAACACAGCAGAGGCAATGATGCAAAAGCTTTTCTTTGATTTCCGTCCAAGGATACAGTGTAGGGAGATTCAGCATTTGGTGTAAGAGTGGAACTTGCATAAATGCATACTTGAAGGCAAATCGAGGAGTTATTTGTAGAGTCAGGTTAGTACAACTGAATCCTATCATATGATATATGGTGACATTTCTTTGCATTCATAAAAAAGATTATCCTGTGACTTAAGAGGATATATTTCTATGTGCTCCTCTTTGTCTTCATAATTTAAATTTATATATCAAAAAGAGAGTAAATGTAGTAACAATGAAGTAGAAACCAATTCAATGTGACTAAAACAATCAGGTATATTTTTAGATCATACTTTCTATTATAGAACACAAAAATAAAATTTAAAAACTGGGTCAGATGTTCTTAAAAACATGTTCATCTTCCTTTTCTAATTTGTTTGCTTTGTTTGGAGGGAATATTTTGTTGCTAAGGAGAGTCTGAGACAATCATGAGTCAGCTAGTGAAGATGATTAATAACCAAATTCCAGTATAGTCTCAGAACCCTTCGAAACAAGTTGGTTACAGAAATTTTATGTGACAATATTTAAATTTTAAAAATCTTTCATTATTTATTTATGTTTGTTTGTTTGTTTATTTACTTGGTACAAGGCATCACTATGGAGCTCAGACTTGTAGTGATCCTCCTGACTGAGACTCCCCAATACTGAATTACAGGTGTGCCCCTGGGATCAAACCCAGGTCCTTCTTCACCATGCAGGCTCTTAGACTGTTAAGCTATCTAGCCAATCTTGTAACATTTATATTGAAGCAATTTGTCATGAATTTGTAACTCAGTGGGTTGCACAATTTAGGCTATTGCTTAAAATTAAACTTTGACTCCAGTCCTAATGAAGTTCACCAAGAAGCTCAACAAGTTCAGAAAGATTTTATTTTCAAAGCAACCCACTAAAATGAAATTGACAGCACAACTATTAATCTGCTGTCTTAAAGGGGTGCCTTCAAACATCTTAAATAGATCTAAGCCAATTTCTCTAGGACCTAGGTGTGCTAAATTAAAGTCTGGATTCTTAAGCTATGTCCATTGGTTATTTTATTCAGCTTTTTGTTGCTGGGTTAAAACTGCTATTCAAAACTTTAATCAGAAAATGTTTATCTTTTCTCCCAATATCAGAAGTTTCAGTTCAGTATTAGGTGTTTCCAAGGCAGAAATCTCATAGCAGGAGGGCAAGGTGGGAGAAGGCTTGTCACCTTAAGGAAGGCAGGAAGCAGGGAGTTAGAAACAGAGTGTAAATGTATAAAAAATAAAAAAATATATATAGAGATTGGGTGTGTTGGCATATGCTTGTAATACAGGCACTTGGAAGTCTGAAAACCGGAAAATCACTACGAGTCCCATCTATGTAGTGAGACCCTGTAGACTATGTACTAACTACATCAAGATATAAGAAAAGAAATAGAGCCCAGAGGGAAGACTTCAGGGACTTGCTATAGTCCCTGTGATCAAGTCCCATGATCCAGATATATCAGAAGTATGTTTTACTAATAATCTCCTAAGGTTTGTTAATCCAATCAAAATTATGTATCTTAAGGCCACCATTTGGCAACTTGATATTGAAACACATGTCTTCATACTGTATTACCATCCAAATAGAGACAATACCAAAGTCACAGTTCCATCTAAAAAAATGTACCTATTCTGCATACAACTGAAACTGGACTAATTCCCTCACCAACAATCCCAGCCTTACGAAAAAGGACAAGTCCAATGTCTTCTCTAAAACTCAAGGAAAACTCTTAGCTG